ATTGAGATGTAATAAAACAATTTGTTAGGCCTAGTTTTTGTAGCTAAAAGTGAATAAAATGGGGAGATAAGAGATGAGGGGGGTACGGTGAAATACTTGAGGGTTTTTTTATACCGCTTAAAAAAAAACGTAGAATGAAGGTCTACCGTGAAATATGATAGGTAATTAGGGGTCGTACGAAATTTTCCCTAAAAAAAATCAATTATGCATAAATGACCTAAGAATAAGTTACCGCATATTAATTTTGTATCTTCACTTGGCAGTACTTGTCCCACTCCACAAATTATTTTCTAAATTTTCATTCGACAGAGCAACACGATACCCTTCTTCCTATGTCATAACACAAAACCTTTATTAGGATTATTTAAGGAAAAAATAACAACAATATTTACCATAATAATTACACTAACAAATAACAAGATCAACATCCCAATGTACAAGAGTGACGTTAGGGGAAAAAAGAGAACTCGCAATAAAAAAAAAAGCCAAAAATCTAAACAGTGTTGTATTAGGTACACAATGAAATAACAAAAGAATCCTAAAACATAGCATTAATTAAAATGTATGACCAAAGACTTATACCAATTGATATGTGTAACCTAACCCAAACATTTGAACATTATCCCTAATTCCCACCTATCTGAATCTTTAGATGTGGCTGAATCATTATCTCAATCAATTTTTAATATTGCATCCAGCTTAGAGAAAAAATATATTTTTTTGACTTACTCTCCCATGGAGTTTAGACTTTTTTTTTTTGTGTAATATAATTAGGGAAATGTTTCTATACTTCATCTATAGCATAGAAGATCTATGCTTCCCCTACCATCCAGTCGTCAAATTTTGATCAAGTGAGCTACTCACCATTTTATCTTAGATCCGATGCTTCATAGTATTTTATTTTTAATTTTTTTTTATAAATATTATATGAATATGAAATTAGACACCCAAAATTTGGTGTCAAAATAATTTATATAAAAAAAATTAAAAATTAAAAATTGTAGAGACGTGACATTGTGATTGGGGCAATCTTAACTATCCATTCAGAATGGACGGTTGAATAAAGAGAAGTATATAAGTTTTATGTTGTAGGGATATAGAAAGCTTGCCCATATAATTATGGTAGATTTTTTATTTTTATTTTTATTTATTTTTATTATGAAATACGTTGGTAAATTATTAACTTTTGTTGGAGTTTGATGAAAACACGGCTTTTTTTTAAAAAAAAAAAAAAAAAAGTCAAGAATCTTGATTTAGTTCAACTCTTAGCCAGCTTGATTGAAAACTAAAACTCAAAGATTTTGAGTTAGTAATGAGGGCAGTTCCAAGAAAGTTTGAAAAATGAGGATATTAATTAACCAAAACTGTACCGTTCTTATTTTCAAATATTATCTCAGCATTTAAATAAAAAGAGACTAATTATATTTTTTACATAGAGGCCACAAATCATTCCCACTCATTAGATGTCAAATTGAGTGGTTTTGGAGAACTTTGTATTTATCCTATGACACTCTTATAACCACCCATTTTGAAATTTAAGGGACTTGAATGATTGTGACCTCTTTGTACAAATGATAAATGATATCTTTATAGACAATCCCTTCGAAAAAGCGTGGAATTTGTACAAAGCATCAATTTTAAACAATTAGGCTATACTTGAAAACCATGCTGAAAGACGTAGATTTGATGCCAAAAAGCCTTGTGATTTTATGAAAAATTTATTGTCATCCCTAATTATGAAATGGAAACGTCTGCCATGCACATTATTTGGACAATGGAATGATGTATACGTAGTATTCCAATGGTTTAGATCATACATGGCAACATCTAAAGGCCACATAGGAGTTTCATATTCTATTTTTTATTAAAAACAATATTAACTTAAAAATTTAGATTATCGATGTAAATTTATATAGAGCACCAAATAAAAATAATAAAAACAATTATTTCAGTTGTGTTTACCTTTTTTGTTCAAGATATTTTTATTACTTTATTTAGTGCACCATATAAAAATATATCTATACACAAAATTTTAAACAGATATTATTTTAAATAAAATTAATATTCATAATTATTTTTAGGCTATTGGATGATACTAGGTTCGATCTGAACCATTCAAAGGTGCTTGTGCAAATTCAAGTATCCATATTATGATGCTATACCATCCTGAAATAAAATTAAAGCTCCAAAAATAGTACAGATAAGTATATCCATAGATAATAATTTTTTTTTGAAAATAGACGGTCCAAATTATGTGTTACAATCTTTTCTATTTTCATGACTTGAATTTTTGTTTCTTATATTCATATATCTCAAGGTCGAGATGATCAATCGGAGATTTTCTAACCTCGGAACAGCATTCTCGAATAGGTTTTTGAGATGCGCCTCACTTGAATAGTAAAAGGTTCACACCTTATCCAGTTACACAATAAATTTTGAACAATCATTTCATGCAAGCCGGACCATATTTCTACAATATGAGGTCCAGATGTATAAAGAATCGATCTTAAAGATGGATGCAAATAGGTGGTTCATCTAGAAATAATTGTAACTAATGGTTCAAATGTTTTTTAATATAGTTAGTATTTCCGGTTTTCATTTTTTTTTATATTCATGATCTCCATGTTAAAGATTATTCATACTCTAAAAATTAGGATCAAATTATGCTTACAAAAATATATTTATTTCTAGGCCTGCATTTCTACAATATGCGGGCAGGCCGCATGCCAACCGCGTCCTTAACTCTTTTATTTATCTATTTTCCTTTTAAAAAATCGCAAACTACCCCTTCCCGCCCTTTCCTTTCGCGATTCCCATAGTGTCCACTGCACATTGTATCTCACCATTCTGCTCTCTCTCTCTCTAGCATCTAAACCTTCTGTGTTTACTCCTCCCCCATGTCTCTCTTCGCCATGAATTCATTGGCTCCACCTCTGATAACTCTATTTCTCCTTCAATTCTTCCCATTAAGCTGCAATTCTTCTGAAACTCATTTTATCGAGAACCAGACAAGAACATCTCCATATCCATCAATTTCAGAGCTCGTTTTAGCAGGAAAAAGTCATCTTTCTCGAAATTCTTCACAACTGGTTCCTGCTTTTTTCATCTTAGGCGACTCATCAGTGGACGTTGGGACCAATAATGGTCTTTTAAGTCTTGCCCAGTCAGTTCTGAGGCCCTATGGTAGGGATTTTGACACTCACATGCCTACTGGTCGGTTCTGTAATGGACGTCTCATTGTTGATTATCTAGGTAATGTAATTATCCAGCATTTCTCTTGAATTTTTTGTTGACTTTAGAGATCTTTGTTTTGGGGATTTCATGATTATGACTATTAATTTTTTAGTTTTATTTGTAATATCTTGTGGCAATTTAGGTGGTATATATTAGGGCATTTCATTGATGTGATTATCCGTTGTATTGTGTGTCAAATTTAGTGTTCTTTATTCAGGTATTTCATGGATTACGATGTTGTTTTTGTAATCTCATTTGTTAATCCTTGATTCTTCATCATTCTCTTCTGATTTTTATAAAATTTGCAGCTTAGATGTTATGGATGTTTTGTTATATTTTTTCGAGTCTTATAATTAAGGATTTTATCTCCATTTAATGGCTTTATGTATGAGTTTCTGTGGATTATCTTCGTTAATTGTTTCTTTGAACATATCCCTGAACCTCAGTGACGTTTATTCCGGGATATTCCATAATTATGATCTCGGTTTTTTTATCTTATTTGCATTATCTTTATTGAGGGGATTTGCAGGACTATGATCTATGTCTCTCCAATCCTTGTTCTCAATTCTCCATTATTTTTGCCGTTTCTGTAAATTTCAAGGATTGTCTTTTTTTGGAGATTCCTGAAGCTATTCGCGAAATTTGATTTTGATATGGATCTTTTGATTTCTTTTATGCAAGCCTTACAATCAAGAATTATCTTCGTTTGAAGCAGTATTAGGTCTTTGATGGGAAAAGATTTTGGATCACCAGAGGTTTTTGTGATGAGATTTTTAGTTTGTTTCAATTTTCGTTTTCTTAAAGTATAGCTTTTCTTGGTGGATTTGAAGTATTCAAATCAGAAGATATGTTTCTATTTGAAGCTGTAATTTTCTTGATAATGCAGTTACACACAGTTTTTCCTAATTATGCAAAAGACATACATATTTCTTTGATCAATTTTCTTCTTAAAGAACTCTATTATCATTACCATCATCCAAGCTTTATCGAAACTATTTGGAGTCGATTAAAGAACTCTATTTTTAAACCTTTAAAAAATCAGGGGCTGCCCATTTTTTTTTTGAAAGAAATATTTCTGAATGATTCACTTTGTTTGCATTTCTAACTTAGAAGTTATTCCTCATTTCTAAAATCTTTATAAATTATTCAAATTTTAGTTGCCACGTGAGATTCTTGATCTTAACTGTATCTTTGTTAATGTGTCAAGATATTCGCTTTTCATTTTTTTTGGCTTTGGAATCTTGCATGTATTTTATAAATACATTATAGGACATAATTCTTATGCTATTATTTCCTTGTATCATTTCATAGTTCTTTGATATTGCCATACGATTGATTTTCCCCTTTTGCTTCTAATTTTCAGTTTCTCTCTCTTTCAAAAATGTCAATTTTCTGCTTTGGCTTGTAGCCTAGTGGCTCAGATTTCAAACCAAGGTTATCAGTTTTTTTCAAAGTAGGAATAGAAAGAAAAAGGAGCTATCACCGTCTTTCGGAGTGATTGTCTTGCGGTTAAACCAATTTATTCAAATTGTGTTCGCACCTAATATTTAAGCCCCAGGAGTGGTCCAAAGTCTCCCTCTCTCTTTGCCAAGGGTCTCTCTCTCTCTCTCGTGCGTGTACAGGCAGGTGGCATGCTCTCTGTGTTGGAAATCTGGAAGACGTCATTCTTGCTTATAATTTTTGTTTGCTGGTTTTTCATGTTACTCAAATCATTGATCGACTGATCCTTTCTTGTTTTGATCTTTTGTGACCAGCACTACGTTTAGGACTCCCTTTTATTCCTCCTTATCTTGGAACTAGAAGGCATGTTCAGGATATGATCCATGGAGTAAACTATGCCTCTGCTGGAGGTGGGATTTTGAGCAGTAGTGGGAAAGAACTGGTATTCCACCTGGTTGCTTTCAAAACTCCTTTCTTTTTCTTCCTATGAATATTTGGTTTCTGGGGCAAAGCTTAAAGTCCCAGTAATAATGGGACTAGGAGTTATGCCTTGTCAAATCTAAATGATTCAATCTAATGGGATGAACTTCTCTCTTATCTATAACTGAATCTCATTTCAAAAGCATCTATACACCGAGGAGCATGTAACTAAAATATGGGGCATGAATTCGGAGAGATTTCAAAATCCCAAGCCAGCCATTGAACCACGTTTTTATTCAAAAGGGGACAAAATCTGTACAACCAACTTTCCTGCATGCCCTTTAAAAATGACAATAATGAAAATTTCCAGATATCAGGTGTAAATATCAGCTAAAATCTGCGTTCTGGCTTCTGTCTATCGTATCTTCTCTGCATCTTTCTCTCATCACAATTTTGTTTAAATCTTGAATGAAATTTTAGCACCCTACTAAAATTGATACCATATCCAAAATTAAGTACCTTGCTTTATACCAGTTGTAATGTTGACTACATGCACCATGGGACCCAGGTGCTTGGCTCTACAGACTCACAAATGGGCATTAGGATCTCAATTTTGTTTGATTTCTGTTGTCTCAACAATTGGTCACTATTCAAAGTTCAAGCTTATGTTCGGAAATTTTGAATCAACCTATTATTAAACTATTTCCAGGGGTGGTTCCAATGATATGTTTTTGAATGGGCGTTATTTTGCCAAAATTCATTGGCTTATGAAAATATAACACCATTCTCCTTTACAAACTAAATAGAAGATACAAAGACTGACATGCTCCGCCATGACCACGATTACAAGTAATTAGCAAAGGTGAATGAAGGACCTTAAAACTTAATCGATAAATAATATGTGGCGAGACAATTGCTTTGGGCTTGTCAAATTTACCTTATGTAAAAGCTGGAAAAAATAGAAGCATTCCTATTTTTTGGTGCCTATCTATGACACACTCCAATTTTTTGGTGCCTATATATTTACAATTCTGATTCTGTGGTATCAGGGTGAGCGCATTTCTTTTACACAGCAGATTCAGCAAGCTAAATATACATTCGAAAAGATGGTACTAAGTTTTGGAGAGAATGCCGCAAAGATGCTGATTTCCAACTCTCTCTTTCTTATTTCAATTGGAAGCAATGATTACATTCACTATTTCATGGATAATGTCTGGCACGTTCAGTCGATCTACTTTCCTTGGGAATTCAACCAACTCTTAGTGAGGGGTGTCAAGAGGGAATTACAGGTATTGAATTGCTTTTTACTTTCTTTGCAAATGTTGATCATATAGAAAGTGATTAAACAAGCATCTTTGACAAAAGCCCATGTGATCTCTAAGTTAAGCTTGCTTGTACAAGAATAATACTAGGATGGGTGACGCACAGGAATTCCAAGCAGGAAAAAAAAAGTTAGAAAATAAAACGAGCAAGGTGTAATACATTTAAGCAAAACATTGGATGTGCCAACATTTTAATTAAATGTATTGATTAAGGTCCTACAATGGGAGAAATGTAGAAGAAAACAAGTCAATCCTAATATTTGTATCCAATAGGCACAAATTAATATAGCAGTTGACAAAATGTGTTGCAAGAAATAACTAATGCAGTTGGAGAAAGTAATCATTCGAATCATGGTAAAAAGGAAAAAAGTATGTTACAATGCGAAAAATATATATAAAAAAAGAAAATTGGCCAAACAATACGATTGTTTCGTCGAAAGATTGTTTGGTATCTAGGCTGATCAGCCAAAAGTATGGCTTTATCTTCTCTAGTGGCAAAAAACTCTGGTGACAAACATTCTGTTTTATAGAGCAGATTCCTGTTCAGTTTTCAACAAGTAAGCCCATAAGGAAGTAACAGATCTTGATGAAACTGTTTGATTGTCTTGGTAAACATGCTGTAGTTTTGTAATTTAAGAAGTTCAATGGGGTTCCTGTAATTTTGTAGAGAAATATTGCTTTATATTTCCTTCACGATAAAATTTCATTCTGAAGCCATGCAATTTCTTTCCCATCGTTTGTGCCAACATTCAAAAATGTTCTTATCCTTTGCTGCAGGTACTGATATGTATTATCAGTAGATTTACCCAATAAAGTATTTTTTGAAGAATTACTTGAAGTGCACTTCAGTCCTACCAATCTTAACTTTTGAAAATGATTGCCATTTCCTTAAGTTTACATCTTTTACTACTTCATGGTGCTTTGCCTGAACTTGGAAATCAACAGCAAGTATTGTTTTGTAACATTCAAATTGTTTTTCAGAGCTTGTATGATTGCAATGTTCGTAATGTCGTGGTCATGGGGCTTGCTCCTCTTGGCTGTGCTCCACATTACTTGAGCAAATATGACAGTCAGAATGGGGAATGTGTTGAGCTCATAAATGGCATGATAGTTCAGTACAATTACTTGATGAGGCACATGGTCCAAAAATTTAGTAAGGAGAACCCAACTGCCAATATCATCTTCTGTGATTTATACGAAGGTGCAACAGATATTCTCAGAAACCGTGATCGCTATGGTGAGGGGGTCTCTTCTTTCCTCTCAAGTCTGCAGGATGCGAACCAAAATATATAACTGATATTGGCATTTCCACATAGGTTTTGAGACCATCACTGAAGCATGCTGCGGATTTGGTAAATATAAGGGTCTTGCTATGTGCTTCTTCTCATCCTGGGCATGTAATAATGCCTCCAATTATGTTTGGTGGGACAAATATCATCCTACAGATGCAGTGAATTCCATACTTGCAGACAATGTGTGGTCTAGCCAGCATTCAAATATATGCTATCCCATGAATCTAAAAGATATGTTACAGAAGGTATGTAGCTCTGGTTCTTTTGACCAAAGGAAACAGTAATCCTTGATTCCTTTTCTATATTTTTACTACAATTTCAGACACCAATTTAAATCCATACAGGCCTTATTGGATTTATATAATCATTCAAGTAAGTGTTAAATTATCTTGATGTCATATTGCCATTTGAAAACTGGGCTGAGTTGACTCGGACACGGCCGAGCTAGTCGGAAAGCATATAGTACTCGTCCAAGTACTGTACACTGATTGAAATAGAAGGGGGGAAGGAAATCCACCCTCTAGTTTTACTAAACTTCATCATAGGAGCTCAAAGTTGAGTCATTTTGCAAAATTTCAGATTTATCTAAAAAATCACTAGATGCACCAACTAGAAGCATTAGATCCGACAAAAAACAATTATATCTCTTGCATTTAAAGATAAAAATTGTGGGTTTTTTGCACGATTTTGGAAAACTTCGAGCTCTTCAATTCCGTTGCCAATCTGATGAAAATCGAAGATTAGGATCATCTTTGTGTTCTTGATCTATCCATAGGCTAGTTCCTCCAAAAAAAATAAAAAATAAAAAGGAGGAATTCGTATATGTTATTTTTGGTGTTTTTATTCATTCTCTTTTTTCCTTTTCTTTTTTTATATTTTATATTATTTTAAAAGCCAATAATGACAATTGTTTTTCATTTCATGTTCTATATACATGTTTTGATGTTTATTTTTTTAAACATTTTTTGGTTTTCCTAATTTCCCCTTTTTTTTTTTCTTTTTCTTTTTCTTTTTCTTTGGTCCTTTTCTGGGTTTGGGCAGAACTCGGGCAAATCCACTAGGACTTGGGCAAGGGCTGAATCCTGAGCCCAATCCAAGTTTTGAAACCTTGTGTTTTAACATATATAATCCACATCGTTTTCAGCAAGTTATTCTCACCATTTGGTAGGTCACTTGCAATTATGCATATATCATACTGGTCTACATAGAAACTATCCAAACCATTTACACATGTAACTCACAGTAAACACGATTTGAATCTGAGGTATGCTGTGCTCCCTGACTAAAGTGTCTTTAATAAGTCGTTATCAGCAGTCTTCATCATCACCGGTCTATATTTCTGGAAATATGAATGGTTGGTGACAGCACAGGGAGGCAGTGTCATCTCTATTTTGCAACTACTTTTTCTTATATCAACATTTGCTCATGTAAAAGAAACGTGATTTAACCCTCCCTCTCTCTCTCACACACACACATACCCACATACACACAAAATTAGCAATGTTTTCCATTGTTTTGAAATTGCTAAGATGCAGCATGAGCAAGTAGAAAAGCCATAATAACCTTAGTATTTTGTTAAATCCTTTCCATGAATTGGAAAATTAATTTCTTAACCTTGGGTATTTGTATTAATAATCTAAATATTCATTAAATAAGTGTCAGAATTTTGGAGTACACCCATCTCATGTCATCTCCCAAGAGTCGCAGGCAACTCCACTGTAACAGAAAATGTGAAGCACAAGGACAGACCTTCTGCCCAGCCAATGAAGACTTATGATTCACTCCCACTAAGTTGACACTACTTGGACATTGAACTTATCCCAGTTCCCTCTGTACATCTGCATCTTCGACTTCTGATCTGAATATAAAGCTTGGAAATGTAGTGGTTATGTCCCTGCAAAATTAAAGTTCTCAGATTGCATTTGCTTGGAAATTAGACAAAAAAAGTTTCGAATAAAGGTTAAAAGTTGAAAATAAATGAATGATGGAAATTCCTTCTATTGGTCCTCTCCTTATAAATGCTATGGTAGCTAATTGGCAGTGATGGTTCCTATGCTTGGTCTTCTTTTTTTTTTCTTCAAGGCTCTAACCCTTGTCCCCCAGATAAAAAGCATAAGATGTGTACCACTAGGCTAATGCTTAAAGGACAACGTTTATATTCATTCGAGAGCCAGTTTTACAATATATTAAGATCAGAGTCTGATTGGAAAAAGAGCACAAGTGACATTACAACTCGTCCTGAAAATACATTGATACCTTCATGAAAAATAGGAGCTGATGTTATAAATACTAGGACATGATGAAATCATAATGATGCATGGTAAACTATGTTGTCCAGGTACGGTAACCAATATTGACTCTGCAGCCTCTGCTATGAACATGATGGGTATTGCACTAAATTTCCCATGAACGATGTATAGGGAGAGACTTGTATGAGGAACTAGAAACTGTTGAATATTCAAATATAGCTTTAAACACTTCAAAATATCACCTAGGGTGGGCCTGAAAATCCTTTTTGTCTAGATATGGGGATTGTCATTATAAATCTCAAAAAATAAGGATCCATAAGAAAATTTGGGGTAGGTGGGTGATGGGTACCACAAAAGAATGATTGCCGATACTCACCATTACATGTGTAGGATATAATTTAGCAGGTATTCTTAATTCCTTTGTTTTAATAGCTTTTGAGTTGGTGGAATTGCTTTCTGACTTCTCTTACTCTTTAACCAGCCTAATCCATTCATGCACTCCATCATAAAATATAGTTGGCTTTTGAGCTTAGCCCCCTCAATAGCCATATCTTAAGGCATTGTCAATTGTCAATCAATATAAATGTACTTGTTGCTTCCCATTTTCAACATAAATGATCAATATGCATATAAAACTATATATGCTGTGTAAAATTTTATACATCCTTCAGTTATTTAGCTGCCTTTGAACTTATGGATCATGATCAAGCTTTTAAATTGGTGTTGAAGTGGGCTGCCTGGGCACCATAATTTTGGTTGAACTGGGCAGCTAGGTTTATTCAACATGTTGTTGAGAATTGGTTATGGAGGGACTGGTTTGAACTATTCTTTTAGAAACTCTATTATTTCCCCAAGGATGAAGAAGTCGGGAAGGAACTGCTTTAGCCTAACTTTTACCTTCATATATATATATATATATATATATATATTAACTTTCATATGAGTCGAAGTATTAGGATTGGGGTGGTGGTGGTGGTGGTAAGGCATTATTTCATCTAAATGATTGGTGAGCATAACTTTGTAGGTTCTAGAATTAATGAATGCCCAACAAGATAGAACATCTCAATGCTGCTACTGCTCGATATTTTACTTCACGATTACTTAAGATTTGATAATGTGAATTTCTGGAAGTACCTGTTGTGAGTATGAGCAATGTGCCATTCAAAATCTTTGATGAAGGGTGCTCACATTGGAGTATCAGTTTATTTCCTAGATTAAAAACTCAACCTATTTTGTAATTGCATTGAATTGTTTTCTTTCCTTTCTAAAAGATATTAAAGTTATCCTGAACCTATTGTCTGTAAAAAAAACACTCCTTTTCCCCTTTTCATCTGATGACACATGTTGTTTCCTTGATTTTATTGACTCATGAAACTTCTTTTCTTTTATGCAGGGAAACTAAAGCACCGAGAAAATTTGACGAGATGCATCAAGGGTCTCAAATAAATCATGATGAACTAGTAACGTTGGTAAAGCTAACATGTTTGCATAATATAGTATTTTATCTTGAATGACTTGAGCTTGATGATAAAATGAATGCAATCGGTGTTCATAATTTTAAAACATGTCCAGATAATTTTTCCTTAAAGCTATCCTACTATCAAAAGATTCAAAAATTTGACCTAACATATTTTTTCTAACATTTGCAATTCTTCGAATGGGCTAAGGGCATATGCTTTTTCAGCAAGATGAAACCTGATAATGGTTGCTATAGCAACAGTGGCTTAAAGTTTGGCGTTCACATTCAAGTAAGCCCTAGTAGAGTAATCCAATTAGCTCAACCCACAAAGTTTTCAGCTTCCTATTATTTGAATTCACTTTCTTAGGCTTTATATGTGGTACATTTTGTAATTACTAAGGCTTGCAATGTTCAAACCAATTTGTCATATTTTGTGGGAAGATAAGAGACTTTTCTGGTATGTTTATAAATTTTATTAAATCTAAGACAAAGACAAGTTAGAGTCTCACAAGAAGCAGGGCATAAGGGAAAAGGAAACAGGAACAAAGAAGTAAGATTCAAAATTCGCAATTTATACCTCCATTTTGTGGGGCTTATGGGTAACCACCCATGAAACATGGTTGAGACCTCTTAAACCTTGGTACTGGAGTGGTAGGAAAGAAAGTAGGTGCAGGAGATATTAGTTTTTAGGCTATGCAATCTAGAAGACATAGAACTTGAAGCCTAATTATATATTTGGGTGAATGAACAGTTCAATTCTGCGGTATACAGGTTATGTCTAAAAAGCTCAAAATTAAGCTCCACCTAACATGTCTATTGTACTTGCTTTCTGGCCATCAATCGGCATTGTCATGAAACGAAACTTAGTTAAATTAGGGGACAGGAATTGCAATCCCATGGTTGTTGGGATTAGGAGCGGGATCGGGAGAGGAATCCAGATTAGGAGTAGAGGATTGTGAAATGTACAAGATCCCTATGGTTGGAAGAGCCATCCATACAGTGCATTTGTTGGGGATCTAGATCCCCAAATGCTAGGATATCCCAATCTTTTTAGGGATCTTGCCCTCTACCTTAAAGTGCATGTATAGTTTAAGACTATATACATTTTTTAAAGTAGGGATCCCTTTATTTATAATCAAATAATGCAACCATATTAAAAGTATAGTTGTATTGCTAGCTGGCTCAAAACTAAGAAAATCATTAGTTTGGTTGTTCTTTTGGACTTTAAAGTTGGGATTGAGATCCTTAACAATAGGAATCGGGATCCCAAACAGAGGGGATCAAGATCTCAAAATTTAGAAATAGAGATCCCTTTGCCGGAGCGCTGAAGCGATATTGTAGAGTGAAATCACCATGTTTGTTGGGAGATCTCAGCAACTATGGGTAATCGAATTTCTCTAGAATTTTGTTCCTCTCTCTTCAAGAGAAATGACTGTTTTTTGTTTTGTTTTTTAGGGTTTGGTTTTTTCTGTTTTTTGTTGGGGAGGGGGGGGGGGTTGGGTGGCAGGCCAATAAAATAAGGTTGTACCACATGGTAATTGGAAATTTGATCCTAATTGTAGTGCAACTTTGAGATCATCAAACAAAATAATAATCTCGGAGAAAAGAGATAATAAGGATACACTGTTAATATTAATTTAGGTAGTCAAAATAATCATTGTTACTTCAAGAGGAAGTTGCTTACTTCAAATATGGTACAGTCATGATCTTCATTGAGGACGGATTTCGTGCTACAAATGCCTTCCATTCTTCTCTATCAATCTTACCATCACCATTTGAATCTGCCTCAATGAACGTCTGTGAAGAATTAACAAAGAAAGCACTAAGCAAGTGACAAAATAGACAACAAACTATTGAAGATGTGTTGGGACAGGCATCAAACTGATAGATGCTTTTTCTGAGTAAATGTTCAGCAAACCATGGCTAAGACTACAACAATACAAAGTATTATCACATAACAATATCTGGTCATTGGCCAAAGATTTGCACCTTATCAACGATGGCTTCAATAATGTCATCTGATAGACTCATGTCTGATTCATTAAGAAGAGCCAGTACCATTTCTTTGACCTGAACAACAAATGATATTCACAAAGAGAATATCACATACTTTTGAGTAAATCACATATTACATTCAATACAAAAGCAAACAAACCATCGATATTAGTTTTCGAGATGTGTAAACAGAAAAGATTGTTGTTAGTGACTCTAGCATGCTGCCGTCTCTCCCACACGTTGCAAATTAGAATCACATGTGCAAGTTGTCATGAACTGAACTAAATGAACCATACATGTGGTTCTTGACTTCATGTTTCCATAGAGCCATCATCACTTGATTATGTATTTAAAAATTCTCTTCAATGTGTAGATTGTTGTGCATTACACTAACAAACCTACTGAAACTCAACCGACTAGTAGCATTTTATGGTACTACATGCTTCTAAAATTTATGGTACTACATGCTTCTATTCATTGTGCTAGAAACCTTAAATCCTATCATACAATATTGATGGAGAAACGAGAAACGTATCAAAGGATAAGAATTGACTCTGTTTCACTCATATGTTTATGGCCTTTAATGAGGACCATATGCACTTCACAGCAATATACACTTCACAATGAAACAATATGCACTCCTTCAATACATAATTACAATTATACCCTTGGGTACGAAAATAACTTCTATATATAGAAATTAAAGAAGATAACATTACACAAAATAACATGCCTGCTCCTGCTGATCCACTAATGTTAGCGGGTGATATTACTCCTGATCCACAGCCTAGTTCCAATTCTTTTCTTTTGGCTACTTGCATCTTAAAATATTTCCTGCATTTTCTATAATTGAAATCTTGTTAACCTATAACAGACAATTGGTTGCCTTTGATTTTGTGATGTGACTTTTGTATTATGGTTATGCAGGACTGCCAACTGGCTAACTCTTGGAAGAGATAGGAAGGTTGACATACTTCTAAGATTTCCATTCTATGCCAAATCAAGTTTTGATTGGAGTATTTTCTGCAGATACATTTGAATTTTATAAAGCTCTGATCCTAACGCCTTTGAAGTCTGAATTGGTCCATTCTAATATGTAGTGCGTGCTACTCTATCTTGTAACATTGTATCATTTAGTTTTTTCTGATGTTTCTCACTTCACACAACCTATGAATAACACATCTGGAGGTGTCAATCAAAATATTAAAATAGTTCAATGCCTTTCTAGGACTGACAAAACTAGCTGCTTAGTTTGAGACTCTTGATGGGACCCAGTTTACGTCCATATCTCTGATAAACAATTTGGAAACATTACTGTATCAAGCCAATCTTTTGCCTTCCATTAAACCTGCTACACGTGACCACAAGGACCTGTTGCCATTAAAGCAGCAAGAAGTTTTTCCAGTCAACCACTTGGTGTGTTAAACAATCACACTTTCCATTCACTTACTGAACACAAGAAAGGGAAAACAGATCAATTTACTTTTTCTATTTCTCATTTCCACAACCTTCACTAGGTTACTTGTGGTAAGTTAATGGCTCTGCTACCTTCATATGGATCACAACAAATTTCTTTGTCCAAGTCTCCCTTATCCACTGTCTGTTCACTCTTGTAAGTCCGATCTTATGAAGGCAAGAGAATTGCTTTCGAGATAGGAAAACTGTATGCAGCAAGCTGTAGATTAAATTAAACTGAAAATAGGTGTGAATAGGTCAATTCATGAATTCAATGCAAGAGATCTTTTCAAGCTGTGAAATAGCAATCTCTTTTTTACCATATCCAAATCTGAGTTGTAACCTCGGCAAGCACGAGGATATTACGACAATAACAGGAAAAAGCAGAACATGAGCTAGATATAAATAGAAAGCTACAGAAAATGAGTTAGAGATGTGTAAATCTACACACACAAACACATGTACTGGATCTAGTCGGCTTATATGATGAGCAGATACAATATATTTAAAAATTGAAGGAGAAAAATGAAATATAGAAATCATTCCAAAAGAGTTCATGATCCAACACAATTTTCTAACTCAAACCAAGACTGAAAATTTCATACAAGTATAGGTCGCTCAATCTCTGTCACTCCCTAAACAATGCTAGTGACATGATTACGGAAGTTATTTATCAAATTCTTGAATGAATATGAGTTGTCACAGTTCTCACCTCCTCCCTCTCTATGTAGCCAGTTTGCCATAGATCATACAATTGGAATGCAACTGCAACAAAGTTGTATTACTACTCCAACAATGAGAAAGAAGATATGTAAAATTCTCTAGAAAGTGTGTAAAGGAAAGAAGAAGATCAAGCAACTCATAAATACATTCTTCTTTGTCTGCTTGAGGTGAGTTCGGATGGAAGACGCTTAATGATTTGACAAATTCCCCAAATCCGATCACTCCATCATGTTTTGCATCAAACAACTCAAATATCTTCAAAACAAAATAATTAAATAATTCAGTGTATGGACAAAAACTGAAATATGCAAGTAAATGAATTATTAAGTTTCTACCCTGTCCGCAAATAGGTTTTGCTTCTTGCTGTTCCTAAACAAAGCAAGCTGAAATTCCTCCTACAACACCAACAAATTAGTCAAATTCCATAAACTTAAAACATGGAAGTAGACCAAGGTCTAATTACAGGAACTAGTGAGAAAATACCTTGTTAATAAAGCCGTCATCGACCATAGAGCTACTTAGTTTCTTAAACAACTCATACAAAGCCTCTACTTCGCTCACACTAACTGCGATAGTGTTAAGGAACAAAAAAGATACAAAAAAAAAAGAAAAAAAACAGAAAGAGGAAACAAAAGAAAAGTCATGATACCGCTCTTAAAAGGGCAAGAAGGAAAATGGAAGGAAAACCAAGAAGTGGAAAAAACTCACAAAACCTTATTTTTCCTTTTGAAAGAAAAAAACCAACATGATACTCGGAGTTAAGGATTTTAATGGAATAGAGTTTCTTTCTTCAGAAAAAAAAAAAAACTATTTTAGTAAATGACAGAGAAAAGAAAAAACAAAGACAGACTTACAATATGTTTGAGAGGCAAGAGCAACAGGATCTTCATACCCTCTTGGACGCTTCAATTGCTTTGCACAAGTGCAGCCCATAAAGCCAAACTGCTAAAAAAAATCGGCATATAATTCTAATTATTCATGATGCATTAGCTTCTCCCTAAGAATTGAATTCTTTTTCAAGTTCAGGAAAATTCTACCCATTGAAAAACAAGCACGAGAAAAATTCTAGTTGAAAAAAACTCAACAAATCATTTAACCAAGAAGACTAAATTCAACAAATTGAACAAGGAAAGATACAAATATTTACCTTACTAGAAAATAATGCTGTCGTTTGACATTTTTTCATGTTTTTAAATTTAGCTAAAAAAGAAACAAATTAAAATCATGTCCATATATATATATATATTAGGATATGTTGCATTATTTTGTCTTTTTTGGGGTTACTGTACAAGGCGTTAGAAGAATTCAAATTTCAGAAAATGAGAAGAAGACTTCAAGCTTTTTGCCGTATGGCCCAACCTTTGCCAGAAATGTCACTCCTACCACCTCTTTGATAGCGTCATGGAATATTGGAATATGCATGTAAGATGCAAGATTATAAATTTTAAATGAGAAAATATTAGGTGCACACCAAACGTGCCCTTAATTCTAATTTCTACCGGAAAAGGGAAGGGATTCAATCTTTATTGAATTTATTTCCCATAGAAATTTAGCGTGCAACACATGTAAAAGGGATACGACAGATATGATATATACTTGAAAATTAAGATATAAAAATGGGGAAATTTATCAAATAGAAAAAGTTTATACAGAGCCGAGGCTCTAAACATTCAAATTGGAGTACACCTCAAAATTTTCATTAAAAGAGGTTGTTTTGATGACCAAATATCCTCACATTGATCATCTCGACATCAAGATGCATGGAAGTGAAAAAAATGGATTTCAAGATGTTCAAGTTTTCATAGATCTGCTTGATCTATTATTTAAGCTTGAAATTTATAATTAGAGATAAAAATATATTTTAAAAGGCTATCACAAAGATTTCCAATATTGAAACTACATTTCTTGACACTATTTGAAAGTATGATTTACTTTGATTGTTTAGAGCCTCGGTTTTATACAAATTGCATCCTTATCAAATTGGTCAAAATAGTTTAACACTATACTCATATCTTTTGATTTTATTTTTAAAATACCCATAAAACACGTATGGTCTTGAGTTAGAATAGTTGCAAATAAACAAAATATTAAATACTTCATCACTAATGGGTATTTTGATGTAATTTCTTTTAAAATAAAGTGCCACAAAAGAAGGATCCATTCCCTTTAATGAAATGCAACATAAGCTCAATAGAAAACAGGATTTATCCCAAAAAAAAAAAAAAGGTCATGATCTCCTCTTACTGGCCCACGCATAGAAGGGGCTGTGAACTAATATTGCCCATATAACTCAAATGGATCTTCTAACAATCTTGATTAAGTTTGTTAACCATTTATATTAGCTAAGATGAAAATGGTTCAAATTTGAATTTCAATTGAAAGTTCAGTGTGATAGGGCATCAATGGTATAGACCCAAAGTAAGGCAACTATGGCCATTTAGGGAAATAAAAGGCCAGAATCCATTTTAAAAATTTATTAAAAAATGTATTAAAAAATGTTGGAGGCTCATTTCTGTTGGAATTTAAATATTCTAGACCTCAAACGTTTACTAAAATAATTTGAACATTTTAATAAATGTATCAAGGATAATGTTAAAAAAAACGCTTCTCTATTGTACATATTAAAATGCCACCCAAGGGCACCCATACAAAAAAAATTCTTCTTAATACAAAATTTGATTAAATAAGAAATAGAGCTAAAGCTCTAACTTTTAGTTAGATTTTAGGTATAGTGCGCTCGTGATAACATCTAGGCCAGGTGTACACAAACATTTAGTAGGCCACATTTGAATTAGCACTTGGGAGCTTTTTAGGTATAGTGCGCTCGTGATAACATCTAGGCCAGGTGTACACAAACATTTAGTAGGCCACATTTGAATTAGCACTTGGGAGCTTTTAACTATGGGCTTTAGTGGGGGGGCGGAAAATAGGCCCATATAGGTTCGTTCATGGGACCGAACTATTAGCCATAGGCTTTACCGGAAGGCCATATAGGTTCGTTCATGGGACCGAACTATTAGCCATAGGCTTTACCAGAAGGTTGTGGTTTATATAAGTTCCAAGGAGTATCTCCAAACTTTGTTATGAGATGTAATTTTTGTGGCCAAATTTTTAGGATGGCACAAGAATTTATTTTTATTTCTAATCATAAAAATTTAAAACTCATAAATAATCCAAATCAAGCAGATCTATACATACATGAGAATATAGAAACTGGGTAGTCCAGATAATATATATTGAAAGATGCATCTCTTTTTTTCTCCATATCTATATATCTGAATACCAAGATGATGAATTATATGTTTTTTTAACATCAAAACAATCTTTTACAAAGGATTTTAGAGGTGCACCTTAATTCTATATTTTGAGGTATCAACCTTATATAAACTTTTTTCTTAATAGAAAGTTCGCTAAAGTAAATTGGTCTCCCTTGGTGTTAACAAGTACAAAATTTATATGGTTTGCCTTCGAGTCCATTTATGAATGCAGTCTAATGGTTACATTTACATAAGTTCTTTTTGGGGTAATCTAGCGGTAGGAATTGAACTTGAGATGTAGTATTGCTAAACATCAACCACTCAAGCCCAATTACTAAGTTATATTCACATAATAGACCTGCCAACACAAATATACACTCATACATGATTTATAAAATTAGAAATTTGAAAATATGTTTTAGTAAACAGATAATCTGATAACATATAAAGGAATCTTAACTCTTAAGTGAAAAAAAATACAATAGGATTACTTACTTTTAGTACAAGTAGATCGCATTAATCTGTAACCCCACTCCAGAAGCTACATCATCCACAATAGCATTCTGGTTAAGAAGTTTCTGAAATAGCTCTGGATATCTAATCTTCAACATGATATCACCCAACCGTTTGTGATGCCATACAAGAGTTCTAATGGCATTCTGGTTAAGAACACATTCTAAATCACATTAGGATGGGTGGCAAAAGAAAGCTAAGGAACATTTCAGGTATGAAAACATGTCTTTTAGACCAGTTATATATGATGAACATAATGCAGCTTATTTTCATGTTGTTGATCCAATTTATTGTATATTTCTTGATAATTTGGTTCTTAAGTAACCATCAAACACCAAAAATTCACCTTTTATGGGATTTTATTAATATAAACAGGGATGTTTCCTCCAAAGATATTATAAATGATTTGTTAATTATTGTTCGTTATAATTTATTTGAACCAGAAAGCCTTTGATTTTCGGCAAGCATGATTTACATTCAAGGATGAAGAAAATACAGATTGAATGTTTCAATTTATTTTATTGAAAATTTCACATCATACTGTAAAGAGATATGTCGGAAAGTGATTGGATCGTTTAATATGTGAGTCTCTTTAGCATTGAGGAATATTTGGCTGCAACCATGACTGGCCAAGAATGCATTTAGCTAAGGTAGTCAGTGGGCTATGCGGTGCTAATCTAATGCGACAATGAAAGTGCAATCTAATCTAATGCGACAATGAAAGTGCAATTTAATTGGATCCAAGCCCTTTTTCTATGCTCGCATGAAGCATATTGATGTCTAGTATCACTTTACTCGAAAAGAAGTCCTGGATGGAGATGTTGAGTTAGAGATTGTTGAACTTCGGACTGATAACCAAATGTTAGGCTTCCTCAACAAAAGCCTTCTAAAAGCAAACTTTGAAATGTTAATGGGCGTATTTGGACTGCTGGACTGCAAGCATGTATTAGTGAAGTGTCCTAGAAATGAAATCATGTTGTAAAGGTACTTTAAATAATTTTATTTTTATCTAATTTTATTTTTATCATCAGCTTGTTTCTTATTTATTGAAAATCATGTTGTTGGTTGGGTTAAAGTTCTCAAAATTTCTATCTTCTCTAGGACTCGGAAGTTTAATGGAGTAGTATAAATATGAGTCTCCTCTCCTGTTTTTGTCCATCTATCTCTGGATAAATTAAGAATTATCTCTAGTTGAGGAAGTTAAAAGATTTGGGGGTAGCTCTAGGCAAAGGTGGTCAATGTGGAGGGTGCCATAACGTGATGTCTAGAGTTCCAATTTTATCAGGTCCCAAGTTAACATGTAAGGGTTTTTAAGGTTTATTAATTCTAGTACTTTATCTAAAAGATTAGAAGTGTTAGAAAGTTAGATACTTATAACATGTTTTGTATGTGTGAAAATCATTTGGTATAAGTATTTTTATATAAAAGAACACTCCCATGTGATAAGGAGTGGGAGATTTTTCACACTAATTGGTACCAAGGCATTTTTTCACTTTAATTAGCAGTCAACTGGTGCGAAAACTCTCTCACACCTAATCACTTGGAGGCGTTTTTTTTATGAGAAAATATTTTCACGAAAATATTTCCAATTGAGTACCACCGGTAGTTGGAACAAGTTTCCCACGTTTTCATAGATCTTTCTTTTTTCTCTCTAATAAATGTATTGAAATTAGCAGAATAAAATCTAGAACGATATTTTCACCAACAGGTAAATGGGATTTGGCTTGACAAGTATGGGTCTAAGTGAGCCAGGTCCGGGTTTTTTCATAGGGCTTGTCGAGTTGGGCCGATTCTTCATTTAAGGCCCATTATTTTGACAGGCCCTCTCGAGCCATAGTATAAGGTCGGATAGGCACCAATTTACATAACATTTTTAGTTTAAAATAATGCAAATGGGCCAGGTCTGGCCCCTTTATACGGCCCATCGGGGCAGGTCAGGTCCCGCCCATCAATCAGGACATATTAGCTTAATGGATGGGCCTGCCAAGGCACAAACCGGGCCCAGCACACTTACACCCTTATGAACAAGTTTTGATTTTGATGGGCCACACAGAAGCCCATTTTGTTCTAAGCTCGAACCACAAAAGTGACGCATGGCATCTTTCTTTGAATAAAGGTCCAGACCAAATGAATAACTTATTATTCTCTTTAGGTGGTTATATGATGTTTGGGTAATGGAATAAATTCGAAGAGGGTTCCAGTATTTAGTGGAGCCTATTCTTATGTAGAGGAGGATATGCAATTTGAGGCAAACTTACGTACCAAATGTAGGCAAAATTAGGAGTACTTAGGGAAGGCATAGTAGGAATCTATTTTACCATGTTCAAGGTGAGCTGCCCCATTCATGGAGAGGTTGTCGATTATATTCTTGGGAAAGTTACTATAATCCCAAGGACTATGAGAAAATCAGGACCATCACAGTCCATTGAAATGGATGGTGATAGGGGCAGTCGCTAGAAG